AGTGTGGGCCCAATCAAAATTGCCACCCCCGGCCTTCCCGGAAGGATTCAAAGGGGGGGCCGAATAGGCTTAGGGAAAAAAATCTTGAGGCAAAACGAAAGGAGCCAGATGATTTGAAATGGGTCTCTTGGACAAAAATAATGTCTGCTCCTGAGGATCAAAATTCCTTCAAAGCCATCCACCATTTTTGAATGGAGTTGAGGCCCTTGACATTATATGACAGAAACCTCAAAGCCATTATGAAATAGCAACGACAGAACTACATGTATTAGCATGACAAATGAGTGAGATACCATCGATGTAGTAGAATAGAAAACAAAAAACATAAAAACAATCAAATAACCACAAAAGAAAAGAATATACAGTGAAAAACAGGTATCCGCAAGGGATATAAACTTGGGAAACGTCAACTAAGCCCAAGTCGTCTAGGCCAATGGCTAGACAAGAATCGGGGGCAGCACGTGACATCCGACACATCCGGAGGTCGTCAAACCCCGCCAGGAAAAAATCAGAACCAAAAAAAATGCACCCAACAAGGGTTTGGCCAGCCAAAATGAGACAAAAACCAGTATAAAAAACCATGTATGAAAACAGGAGAGAAAGAACAGCACCAGATTCGCCACAGAAGCGTCACCCCTGAGCAGAATCATCAGGCAGGTGGATCGCTTGATCGAGAAGAAACGTGGACGTTTTGTGGGTGCGTGAGAGTCTCTTCCGACCTCCGCGGACTGGTGTCCAGATCTTGTTGGGGGGGCGGAAGGACGGGATGGTGGTAGGCGGCAAAGAGGACACATACATCCGATAAAGGTGGAAGTCCCAACTGTTTTAGGAAAGAGTCCGCTTTATGAAGATCCCGGAGAACAACTTGAGTATTGTCCCTAGGTAAACGACCAGCTTGAAGGGAAACCCCCAACATTCAATACAGGACACGATGTTGCTGAAGGTGTGTGGTGATCGGCTATCAGAGCACGCCGTTTGGCAAGAGTAATTGGAGAAAGATCGCAGAAGAGTTGGAGTCTGTCACCTTTAAATTCCAAAGAGGATTTGTGGCGAACCGCTGATAGTAAGGCTTCTTTGCTTTGAAAGTAGTGGAAGCGGACTATAACGTCACGTGGCCTGGTGCCCTCAACAAGTTTAGGGCCCAGAGAGCGATGAGCCCTGTCCATTCGCCAGTCTGCCTCTGGGATCATGGGAGCAGTTGCGATGAAGGACAGTAGGTGGTGGTGTAGTTGTGCATCAGCAATAGATTCGGACATACCGCGAATACGGATATTTTGGCTCGCCTTTCCAGGTTTTTTCCAGGTCCTTTGTTGGAGCTGTGCATTTGGGCATGGAGTGTTTCAGATATGCGTTATCTTCCTCCAAGACATGAACGTATTGCACCAAATCATCAAACTTGTTTTTCCAGTTTATCCGTGCGGTCTCCAATCTGGGCTATTTCCCCTCTGAGATCTATAGCCAATTTTACCAAACTTCAGCGGTTATGGAGGCGGTGATATTACGTAAAAAGACTTGCAACTTATCGTCCAACGCAGAAATTGTAAGCGCAGATGACGATGTAGCCTGCTGAGGGTTTTGGCTAGGGGTAGGAAGATACCCTGATGCAGGGTGGTCCATAACCCCTCCTGCTGTGGCTTGGGGATCAGAATCCTCCATTTGTGGATGGATCAGAGCAGAGGCTGTCAGCTGCTCTGTCAGAATACAGGGTGCAGTACCCTCCGCGGCCACTGGGGGTCCGGGATCGTTCCTCGGACTCCTGACACTACTTGAGGCCGGGATTGCGGCCTAGTCAAAAATTGCCGGAGCGGCGAGGGCCGCGGGTCCTGCGGCTGGGGGGAGGGGGGGTTCCAGCGCCCCTTATCTTGCCCATGGAAGCCTCTCCCTTATGCTGGGGCCGGGTGCTTGAACTGCGTGACTCACCCGTAGCAGAGAATATGCTGTGGAGCGGAGCGGGTGAGTCACTACTACTGGCCCGGGATGAGCGGAGCTCAGCAATTCACGTCTGACATCATCCCTGGTTGCGCATGCGCCCCCCTTTTTTTTTTTTAAAGTACATATAGCATTTCTTTATTGAATGCTGAAATTATAAAGTCATTATTTTTGTTTGCCCAGTTTTCAATTCAGCTTTCTTCCTAAAGATGTATTTATAGCTTCAAATTCTGCTGCAGTCTTGACTGCATGTTGTAGTTGCTTTCTATTTGTTTTGGATGTTTAATGTTCTTGTTTCCATTTGAAGAAATAATAGGCCTGTCATAGAAAAATTCAGAACTCATTTTTATCATTGTTTAACTTGGTGGTCATCAAGGTGCTTTGGTGGACAGGTCGTAAAACAATCAGGCTCAATTCCATTTTACTTTGTTTGTAGACAGAGGGGCAGCTAAAGAGAGAATTTGTTGTTGGGATGTGTGTCATGCCTATCTGTAGCTCCAAACTGCAATGAGGCTGTCAGTTAAGTTTTATCTTGTTTACAAGAAAATAGCATTGCAATAGCTTGTGGAGATCTTAGAACATTTAACATTTTCTGCAATTGCTCCCTGCAGTGTAAACGTCAGCAGATATGTAAAAGTTTGGATAGCTCTCTCTCTCTTTTATTCTACAGCAGGGGTATTGAATTAAAATTCAACGAGGTCCGGTCACTAAATTTTTCTTCTGGCCAGGGTCCGAATAGGGTGTGCCCACTTACATTAGGCATTATCATTAGAGTGCAACTTTACATCATGTATCCCCTTTACATCAGGTGTCCCCATCAGAGTGCCCCTTTACATCAGTTGTCCCCATTTGAGTGCCTCTATACATCAGGTATCCCTATCAGAGTGCCCCTTTCCATCACGTACCCATCAGAGTGCCCCTTTGCACAGAATGTGCCCATTTTAACATAAAATGGGCCCATCAGAGTGCCCCTTAACATAAAATGTGGCCATCAGAGTGTCCCAACATAAAATGTGCCTGTCAGAGTGCCCCTTTACATAAAATAAAGGGCATGTTGATGGGCACATTTTATGTTAAGTGGCACTCCGATGGGCACATTCTATGTTGTGCCCATCAGAGTGCACCTTAACATTAAATGTGTCCGCCAGAGTGTCCCTTAACATAAAATAAGGGGCACTCTGATGGGCAGATTTATATTAAGGGGCACTCTGATGGGCACGTTATGTTAAGGGGCACTCTGATGGGCACATTCTATGTTGTGCCCATCAGAGTGCCCCTGTAAGACTACACCCTACCTTGAGAGCAGACAGGACTGTGGTGGGATCTTTGCTGGATGCTTGTGTACAGGCAGGGAGCAGGAGCCAGAGAGACAGTGAGCTGAAAGGGGTGGGGCACACATGTGACGTCATGTTGTTGTGACGACAGCCCTGCTCAGTGGTGGCTCTGTCATTGCAGACTGGCGGTCCGTGCGACAGCACTGCTGGGGCCTTTCACGGTCTGCCATTTGGTGACCACTATTCTACAGGAATGCTGAGATGATATTCCCCCCCCCCCAAAAAAAAGTGTAATGTAAGTATGTGACGAAGGGTCCTTCCGAATGATGGCTTTGGGGATACAATTTTCTTTTTTCACTTGTATAATATAAAAACTATAGCAAGAGATAGCTGTCAGTGACTACCTAAAGAAAATCTTAAAATGTAAGCTTTAGGAGCACCAGCTCTATTTTTCAGGTTAGGGGATAAAAGGTGATAGAATATAATTATGAACAAACGGACAGCATCAAAAGGTAAGAAATGTTTATTTACAATATTGCGTAAAGAACTGTGTTTTAGTAAGTCCCTCCAAAGCACATATGATATATTGTATATAGTATACTGAAACATGCCCAAGCACATACCATACATATGGTGTAATGAAGCTTGAGCCCTTTTGTTTTAGGGTATAAAACATTTTCATAGATTTGTATTCTCAAATTCAGTTTTTAAGATTCATTTTGTATTAGAAAGGACGGCAACACATATTCAAATTTTCCAAGAAAGTAGAACAAAACCAAACGTATGCAAAAAAAAAAAAAAAATCTGCAAAGTGGAGACTGCAAACAGCAGCAAATCAGATTTCCATTTACTGTAGTTTGAACATTTTTTGATTGGTTGCCATCACTTACTGTACTTCCATATTACTGTTTGTCTTTCACTGCTTACTGAATGACTGAAATTGAAAAATGCTTGCAGGCTCCAAACAGGGTTCAAGGTAAAGAAGCAGTATGCCTTGGATGACACTGGTGATAAAAGAGTACTTGGCCAGAAAATTAAAGTTTTTTTTTTTTTTTTTACTCTTCTACAGGTATGACTTTAACTAACAGAAAAAAAGGTTTCACTATTGTGACAGGAATTACTATTAATGATGCATGTCTGTGTTCCTGATTTGAGCTCTTCCAAGAATGAACAGTGTGGATATGTGTGCAATCGTTCACTACAGAGGACTTCACAAGACAGTGCTACCAATTGCCATGTCTATGGAAAAAACAGTCATCCTTATGTTCATGTCAAATAAAAACAGCCATAAAACAGTCATTCCATTTGAAATTTTTCAACATTCAGCCAAGTTCCAGATTATATAGTACACAGTGGTTGGTGTGGAAAAGAGAAGATTTATGTGACCCATAGAACGGTTAGGCCTGGCTAACAACACAAAAATAACTGGACTTTTTTTGTTTTTTAATCAAATGCAATTTCTTTATTATGGCAGTGCTTTCTCCAATTAAAACAAAAAACGGAACCAATCTGAATATCAAAATACCTATAGGAACCATTTTTGACCTTCAAAGCATAGCACGAAAATAAGTGCCAACTGAAACAGTCCACAAGGCAAATTTACACACAGACACAGCCTTTCATAACAGTGCAAATTGTGAAGAGAGGACAATCTCTCTGAAAATGCAGACACAATTCATATATATACCATGTAAGGGGTAAGAGGAAGACAGCATAGGAGACCACGTGTCCTTGAAAATTCTGAATTGCATGTTTGTAATACAAAAAAACATTACTAACAATAAAAAACACTGTATTTTAGTTGCTGAATTGATTGATAAACCTCCCAGATGTTTGCCTCACGAGTGTGTGTTGTTGACAAGCTGTCCATGCTTCATCTAAAGCTTTGAGAACTTCCTGAAACAAAAAAGCAAGAAAAAAAATTAAGAAAAAATGTCCACAGGTTGAATAAGACACCAGGAAAAGAATGTGTATGTGTGCTGGAAATCATCTGCTGACAAGCATATTATTAAGTAGCTATGTAGTACCTGGGCAGTCGCACTATTTTGGAGCAGAACCCTTTTTTGAACTTCCTGACCCCTGTTTTCTTTCTTCTGGAAGACTGCTGAACTCTTGTCCTGTAAAAAGAAGGATAGGAAGATAACCAAGCTATTGGTGCAAATAGATACTTTAGTGGAGGCCAAATAGAATTTGCTGTTGGTACACAGTAATGACATTAAAATTTACAGTGTATTATGGACATGCAACCAAGTCACTCAGACACTTATGGAAATTTGTGATCTGTAACTAGAAATATTCCATACATGACATTATTACAGCAAGAATTGATACAGTGCCTTGAAAAAGTATCCATACCCCTTGAAATTGTTCACATTTTATCATGTTACAACTAAAAACGTAAAGGTATTTTATTGAGATTTCATGCAATAGACCAAAACAAAGTGGCAAATAATTGTGAAGTGAAAAGAAAATCATAAATGGTTTTCACAATTTTTTACAAATAAATAAGTGAACAGTGTGGCATGCATTTGTATTCAGCCCCCCTGAGTCAATACTTTGTAGGACCACCTTTCACTGCAAGTCTTTTTGTGTACATGTCTCTACAAGCTTTGCACATCTAGAGAGTTACATTTTTGTCCATTCCTCTTTGCAAAAAAGCTCAAGCTTTGTCAGATTGGATGGAGAGTGTCTGTGAACAGCAATTTTTAAGCTGTGCAGAGCAATACACAGCAGCATGTGCTTGCTGGCAGGAGAGAGACCTGTGTTGTTTACACATATGTCTCTCCCCTGTCAGTTTTACTCGACGCTCGTCGGGTGCCTGCAGAGAATCTCCATCCGGGACCTGGTGATTGACATCCACGAGCATCCCCTACCTGGTTTTCTGATTTCTGGCTACCAGGTGTCTTTCATACAGGTAACAAGCTGAGATTAGAAGCAGTCTCTTAAAGGAAGTGCTGCTAATCTAATTTTGTTACCTGTATAAAAGACACCTGTCCACAGGAGCAATCAAACAATCAGATTCTAAACTCTCCACCATGGCAAAGACCAAAGAGTTGACCAAGGATGTCAGGGACAAGATTGTAGACCTACACAAGGCTGGACTGGGCTACCAAACTATCGCTAAGCAGCTTGGTGAGAAGGTGACAACAGTTGGTGCAATCATTCGCAAATGGAAGAAACACAAAACAACTGTAAGTCTCCCTAGGTCTGGCGCACCATGCAAGATCTCACCTCGTGGAGTGTCAATGAGCATGAGAACAGTGAGAAATCATCCCAGAACTACACATGAGGATCTGGTCAATGATATCCAGGCAGCTGGGACCACAGTCACCAAGAAAACAATTGGTAACACACTATGCCGACAAGGATTGAAATCCTGCAGTGCCCATAAGGTCTCTCTGCTCAAGAAAGCACATGTCCAGGCCCATCTGAAGTTTGCCACTGAACATCTGAATGATGCAGAAGAGGACTGGTTGAAAGTGTTGTGGTCAGATGAGACCAAAATCGGGCTCTTTGGCATCAACTCAACTCACCGTGTTTGGAGGAGGAGGAATGTTGCCTATGACTCCAAGAACACCATCCCAACTGTCTTACATGGTGGTGGAAACATTCTGCTTTGGGGTGTTTTTCTGCTAAGGGGGGCAACTGCTCCGCATCAAAGGGACGATGGACGGGGCAATGTACTGTCAAATCGTGGGTGAGAACCTTCTTTCCTCAGCCAGGGCATTGAAAATGGGTCATGGATGGGTGTTCCAGCATGACAATGACCCAAAAACACATGGCCAAGGCAACAAAGGAGTGGCTCAAGAAGAAGCACATTAAGGTCCTGGAGTGGCCTAGCCAGTCTCCAGACTTTAATCCAATTGAAAATCAGTGGAGGGAGCTGAAAGTTTGAGTTGCCAAAAGTCAGCCACCAAACCTTAATGACTTGGAGAGGATCTGCCAAGAGAAGTGGGCCAAAATCCCTCCTGAGATGTGAGCAAACCTGGTGGCCAACTACACAAAATGTCTGACCTCTTTGATTGCCACCAAGTACCATGTCATGTTTTGTGAAGGGGATCAAATACTTATTTCCCTCATGAACATGCAAATCAGTGAATAATTTGTTAGACATGCATTTCTTTTGAATTTTTTGTTCCTATTCTGTCTTTCAGTGTTACAATACACCTACCATTCGATTTTTAGACTGATCATTTCTTTGTGAGTGGGCAAACATTCAAATTCAGCAGGGGATCAAATATTTATTTCCTTCAGTGTGTGTGTGTGTGTGTGTATATATATATATATACATACATATATTTACACGCACACGTATACAGACACATGTGATTTTGCGCAGCCCTGCCCCCCTGTAGCAGTACTTCTACTATAAGCTGGTGGGCAAGTGGTTAAGCAACACCTGTATCTGCTACTCTACTTGGCCAAAATTTAAAGAACACCTGACCTATATAAACTTGTTGGACATCCCATTCATGAACAGTTATGAACTTGTAGGACATCCTATTCCCTCCCAACCCTGAAGCTATAATAACCTCTACTCTTCTGGGAAGGCTTTCAAGATTTTGGGAGTGTATCTGTGGGGGTTTGTACTCATTCAGCAAAAAAAAAAAAAAAAACCCCAAAACATTTCTTAGCACAGATATTGATGTTAGATGAGAAAACCTAGCTACAATTTTCCCAGAGGTGCTCAACCCCTTTATGCTGGCCAAAACTTTAAATGGGCCATGATGCCCAAAACCATTAGGATTGGCTCTTGATCTTGCTGCACTGTGAATGTGCACTGCAGGAAGTCTTCCTGGTAAATGATAGCAACAATGATGCGCAGATAGATCACATCCTTCTTTTATGTGTAGATGGGCAAGTGGAAAGTTTTGTTTTACCAAATAGGTGCATTAAAGCTAAATTTCAGGAAAACATTTGACACAAATTTGAGAGGTCCTGTCTATAAAAAGATCTGTAATTCTGTCTAGCCACTTTTGTGATTCACATCTGTCAGACAACACTAGTTCTCTGTTAAAATTAAATACAGTGGTGTGACCTCTTGCAGCCTGTGATTGGATAATAAAGGAGTAGTCATCAGCTCTACTCACACCACTCTCCTCTGGAATTATGTTCATTATTAGAACCTCTGCATGCAGCAGAGCTAGATTATTGCTGTACAGGAGATGACAGGAGGCCACTATTAAGATTATACACAGCTGCAATAAACTGTTTTTATATCTGCCTACAGTTTAGCATTAACGTAGAACTATAGGCAAAACTTTTTTTTTCTTATTTTGGATATATCAAGGGAGGGTTATAACCCCTGTAAGTTTTTTTTGCCATCTGTGTCCCATTGTGGAGATTGCCCTTCACTTCCTGTCCCATAACCAAACAGGAAGTAAGAGGAAATCCCTGCAAATTAAAGGTCAGAACTAGTGTTCCCTATTACTTGTCTTTCACTTTCAATGATAATGGTAAACAGGACAAATAGAAAGGGCAATAAAAACAGACAAGCGTTCTAATCCCTCTCCATTCAATCCAAAACTAAAAAAAAACAAAAAACTGCCTTTATTTATACTGCCTTTCTACTGTGGTAAGCTTACAGTAAGTCCTCTAGTAGGAGATGCCATGGGACCAACTAAAAGCCCCAGTTCTGTCAAATAATGTGATATCAACTGTCAAGCCACAGCACTGGTAATGGACTGAGGGTGTAGCAATGCGGAAGACTGTTGGAATCAAATAGTCTCTTTACATGATATGTGGATACAGCAAGAAGGAGAAATTGTCAAATGAGCACATATATAATTAACTTCAACTGACTATTACATGCATACAAAAACTCAATAAAATGTAATTTTTGACTTACCAGTAAAATCCATTTCTTGGAGTACTCTACAGGACACAGGAAATATTAGTTTTTAACCATGGTATATGCAGCTACCTTTAAGGGATTGAATACTAGCAAACAGAAAGAAAGCAGCAGGGACAAACAATAGCCCCTCGCACTCCCAGCTAACCTCACTTTTGTAGCAATCAATAGGGAGATCATATATAACAGAGTCACCTGTGTCTTGTTTTGTACTCCAAGAAACAGATTTTACTGGTAGTTAAAAATACTGGATTTTTGCTACATACTTACCTGTAAAATCCATTTCCTGCAGTACATCACAGACACAGAGCAGGCTATTTATGACTATGTGGGTTATACATCACCTAGAGGTGAATGGACACTGCCTGATCAATCAGAGAAGAAGTCCACCCCTATATAACCCCTCCTACACAGGAAGTACTTCAGTTTTTGTAGCAAGCAATGAAATTCCAGAGGGACAGGCGGGACCTATGTGTACCGTGATGTACTCCAAGAAATGGATTTTACAGGTAAGTACGTAGAAAAAAAATTCAGTTTTCTTTACCATCACGGGACACAAAGCAGACTATTCATGACTATCTGGGATGTCCTAAAGCAATAAAGAAGTTTGAGGGGAGGGCGACACTGATAGCCACTGTCAACAAGCCCTCAAGACCTACTCAGCTGTCCATAAAACACTGTGGGCAAAGGCAGAACCCTCTGCAGCTCTGACATCCACCTGGTAGAACCAGGCTTGAATGATCAATTGGCAAATCCAATGTAAAATAGTCGCCTTAGATACTGCCTGCTCTTTCCTAGGCCCCTCAGGCAGCACAGAGCATCAGACCTGCTGACCTGTGCCGTCACCTTCAAGAAGACCCTTACAGCACGTACCACATCCAAACAATGCAGAGATCTTTCTTTTGCTGACTGAGGCCCAGGAAGAATGAAGGCAGAACGATCTCCTGATTGAGATGAAAAGTAGAAACCACCTTTGGTAAAAACGTCAGCTGAGGCTGCAACCCCACCTTATCTTGATGCAAAACCAGAAATTGTTCTCTGCAAGAAAGAGCTGCCAGCTCCAACACCCTTCTTGCAGAACTAATTGCCACTAGAAACAACCTTGAGTCAACAGGGCCAGTGGAATCTCCCTAATTGGTTTCAAATGGTAGTTTCTGCAAAACCTAAAAAAGCAAGTTTAGGTCCCAAGGACACAAAGGTAACCTGACAGGAGAAGCAATACACATTACTCCTTGTAAAAAAAGTGCAAACCAAAGAGACACAATGGGCCTCTGGGGAAAAAAAAAAATGTAATGCTGAAACCTGGCCCTTAATGGTACGGACAGCCAATTTCCCTCTCAACCCCAATTGAAGAAATGACGAAAATCACATATTTTCCTGGGTGCCATTTCCAGACTTCACACCAGGAAATAAAAGACTTCCAAGTTCTGTAATAAATGTTCCTAGAGACAACCTTTCTAGCGCTCAACATAATGGGGATGACGGAATCCGATACCCGGCTGTCCTTCAGGATCTGAGTCTCAATAGGCATGCCGTCAAATTTAGCGACCGCAAAGCTGGGTGCAATATAGGTCCTTGAATCAGCAGGTCTGGCCGGTATATCAGAGACCACGGACTGTCCACTGCCAGTCTCACTATGTCTGCATACCAGGCCCTCCTGGGCCAGGCAATTAGTATCACCGGAATAGATTTTACCCGAATCCTTCATAAGAGAAGTGGCAGCAGCTGAATCAGAGGAAAAGCATAAAGCAGAGAAAACTGGTTCCAAGGAATCACTAATGCATCTACCCCTAGTGCACGAGGGTCCCTTATCCTGGACACAAAATAATCGACCTTGTTGTTAAACCTGGATGCCAACAGATCTATGTCTGGGTAACCTCATTGCTGTCAGATTGTCACGAAAACCTCGGGATGCAAAACCCATTCTCCTGGAACCAATTGTCGGTGACTGTGATAGTCCGCCTGCCAATTCTCCACACCCAGAATGAATACTGCTGATAAACTTGGAACATATCTTTCTTCCCAGGTCAGAATGTAATTTACCTCCTCCTGAGCTGTGACTCTTGGTACCACCCTAGTGGTTGAAGTGTGCCACTGCAGTGGCATTGTCAGACTGAATTCTTACTGGCCAACCCTGAAGTCTGGACGTCCAATACCCCAGGGCAAGCCGTACTGCCTGAAGTTCCAGCACATTGATGGGAAGTATCCTATCCCGTGGAAGCCATGTTCCCTGAACCGTGGCCTCCTCCAGAAGAACCCCCCAACCCGAGAGGCTGGCATCGGTGGTTACCAATTTCCATACCACTAGCCGAAAGATGAGAAACAGATGCCTGATGCTGAAGAGCCCAAGAAATATTAACTGATTCTGATAAAGTATGCCTTAACAGGGAAAGGGGAACCCTATCTTTTAATCAAGTGGTCTCTAAACTGTGGCCCAGATGGGGTCCTTTGCTTTCCTTTATCCGGCCCTTGGGGATTCCATTTACAGATATGAAGAGCTATTCCTCCCACTCATATAAAACACTGAAACTATTTCTTTCACTGACAATGATGATGGGGCATTATTCATTCCACTGATACCAATGATGCGCACTAATCCTCCCATTGACACTATCGATGAGGCACTACATCTCCCACTGACACCAACAATGGGGCACTATTCCTTCCACTGATGTAAATGATGGAACATTATTTCTTTCACTGACCTTAATGATGGGGCATTCTTCCTATCACTAATACCTTTTATGGGGCACAATTCCTCCTCCTACTGACCACGGATGTTATATAATTTGCTTTACACCTAATCACCACAGTCTGGCCCCCCTGAAGTCTGAAGGACAGAAAACTGGCCCTTTGTTTAAAAAGTTTGGACCCCAGCTTTAAACCATAAACTGAAATGATGACTTGTCTGACCTGCCTAGCACTATGGAAGCAAGAAACAGGGAGAAAAGAGGTTTTTGGCCTCAGGACAACCTTATCCTTGTGTAAGTCTAGCCAACAATATAGAGACCCTCCTTGCAGAGGTGATATCAGCAAGAAAAGCCATCTTGCTAGAGGGGTCAGACAACAGAATAAACCTAATAGTTCAAACGGCAACCTATGAAGGGCTCATGGAGTCACAGGGGAACATACAGAGGGAGAAATGTGTGCAACACCCTCAACAAGTGCCTTGACTAAGGAAAGAAGCCAGCGTTCTCTGAAGCAAAATGGCCAAGGCTAAGATTTGCCCTTCAAAGGTGCACAAGGCCACATGCTGATCTAGACCCCACTAGAGGAAGAACAGGATGAAATTTCCTGGTCTTGCACCATGCAAAATAAGCCTTCCCGATGTGATGATAAACTGCAAGAAATCGACTTCCTTTGCTTTTGAGAGGGTATGGATGACTGAATTCAATGTGCCTTTTTTACTTGGCATCAGAACGTCAACAGTCATGCGATTAAAGCCAATGATCATGAAGCAAAATGGTGGACTGGCTCTTGGGGGGAAAAAAAGGTCCAGACAATGTGGAAGGGGCCATGGAGAGCGTGCTAGGAGACTGAGTATGTCCAAATACCATGTCCTCCTGAGCCTGTTTGGTGCAGTGAGGATCACTGGAGTGTCTCAAAGCAGGAAAGGGAGGGTCTGTAGAGGAAAAGCATAGAGCAGGTGGAACTAATTCCATGGAGTCCTCAGAGTATCCACTGTGAAGGCTAGGGGGTCCCTGGATCTGGAGACAAACTTGCTCAGGTCGTTGTTGAAGCAGGAAACTCCATGTCTGGCATCCCCCACCTCAGAAGTGTAACTAGAACCTTCTGGGCCCCGATGCAAGAAACCATGAAGGCCCTTCACCCCCCGACCCAAGCCCGGGGCTCTTCCCTCTGAACACGGGGCCCTTCACAGAGTTCCACCTTACGTCAGAGCCCACAGAGTTTCCCCATACATCACAGTTCCCAGAGCTCCCTTTACATCAGGGTTCCCTCTCATAGTACATCAGAGTTTTCAGGGTTTCCCTTCACAGTAAGGAGTTCGCAAGGCTCCTCCTTACAGTGCAAGGGGGAACTCTGTGGATCCAAGTGCAAAGGGGCACTCTGTGGACCCCGACACAAAGGGGCACTCTACGGAGTGAATACAATAAGATAAGAGGGGAGTGAGGACACTTGAGATCAGTGTCCCCCCCTTACCACAGGGTCTTCACTCCCCCCATACATCAGTGACCCCACATAGAGTGACTGATTGCCCCACAGACACTGTGGCCTGGGGCTGTCACACACTGAACTCCTGTAACTGCCTGCAGGCTTAGCCTTTTGGTCCTCCTCTCCCCCCGCGCCTCCTTGCTTTCAAATTTGCGGTTGTCTCAACACCTCAAAGGGAAAACCTCTCCTTGGAGAGACATAAGCCCTTAGAACCAAGAGGGATATGACAGAATCCAGAACTAAAATGCTAGAAAAAGTCTGGCCTTACCATAAACAGTTGAATGGGACAATCCACAGACTGCAATCTCTAGTCTCATGCTGGTGAGTCACAACAGTGTGAGGGGAAATGAGCATAAAAGTTTGCCATGAAGAACAAGTAAGAATTTTACAGTTTTTCTCATGCACTTTGCTAGCCTAATCTAGTCTTTTGAATCTAAGTCCATATCACTCTTTCCCGCGTAGATTATTTAGTTAGGGCAGGGTGAGCTGGATCAAAATATTGTACAGTTGTGGGTAGAGGGGGAATCTTGTACAGGAATTCTTTCAACGGCGGTAAGTTGTGACATCTTTTTATTTTTGTCCAGAAGGGAGTGATGATATGTTGGCTGGCCAGCCAATTAGACTGTCTTAAAATCTGTCGTGTTGAGCGTTATCTTGCAGTGCTCGCACCAGAAATATCCGTTTTAAAATCTGTTTTTGTAATACTGAAAAAGCAGCCTAGGTCAAGTATTGGAAACAAAATAGATTATACACTGCAGTGATCAATTATACAAATGTGCAATGAGGAAGGATGCAAAATTCTTTTTCTTTGGACCAAATGCAGCTCGGTTATAGCTAAAGGACAAGTTCACCTTTGTAACATGTTACACTGTACTTAGTTTTGGTTCACGCTATTGTGGCTCTCTGAGCCACATTTGCTCTGGCAAGGCAGCCATTTATGCAAGAAAAAGGTTACTGCACCTTTTTTAGACTGCAGTGGCAGTGAAATCACAAGGTGCAATTCCCACACCTACTTAAAAAAAAATCAATTGTTCTTTATGAAGTTCCTTTTCACATCTTATCGCACAAGCAGGCACCATAGAGAACAATTTATTTTTTAAGTTTGAGCATTTTTGGAGCTTTGAGCTTCAAGCTAGAATTCGCTCAAGTGTGAATGCAGTCTTAGGGTGTAACATGTTACAAAATGTTACGGTTGTTACATGTTACAGGTGAACCATGTTACAAAGTTGAACTTATCTAGAAATTGTTTCAGAGCTCCCCTCTGGGGATAGAAAACATGAAGGGTCTGAGATTACAGACTTTAAAGAAGACCTGTGTCCATGCTCTTGACACAAAAAATTATATCTCATGATTGCAAATCTTGTATAATGTAGGGAGGACAGAGCAGGGAAAACACATTTTAATATACAGGAAGTGAACATTTATAAAATAAGCACTTTTTGGTAGGTAGAGAATCAACAGCACTCAAAAATATTGTGTTTATTGGTTACCACACACTGAGCAACACATCAGCTGCCTGGCTGTATTTTATTTTTATTTCCACTTCCAGATATTACTGCCAAATACCCCAACAGTGAACAGTTATATACCTTGACTGATAAAATCAGTGCATTCTCCTCCACTTTGGGTGGACAGACGAACTCCTCAAAGGAGTAATCCCAGTCTATGCTCCTATGACCCAAGATCTCCATTTCCTTAACAGACATGATCCGCCTATTCAAGAAAAATGCATAAATCAGAAAGTTATATGTACATACTACGTGGAATGTATCTCTTTGTCATCTAGTAGGTTGGTCACTACAGCTTCATCCACCACTGCCTTCCATTAGTAAAAATTACCATAGACCGGAAAATGCATATTATTTCACAGCCATTATAATACATGTGCGCCTAGCTAAATATCACTTGCGTCCAGTCCACTTGTGCTTCTACTGAGTGGCAGGATTAGTGAATGTCTGTTGGGCATTCTTCTGGTTTAGAGCAGATGTATAATATATCATCTTAGGCCTTATTTGTACTGACTGTAGCTTGCCTTGGTTTGGGAGGACTTAACTCACTGCGCCCTGACTGCAGGTAGGCAAACATTGTATAATGCATCCACAGCTATTAGCACTGACAGTTTTGTACTGCCAAAGTGGCTGCATTCAGGGAACATAACCAGTGACATAACAATAACCATTACAGCCCAAATACATTCATCGTCAAGTGAATATACTTACTGCAGCCCGAATTCAAATATATCAACCAAAGATAAAATAAACAAACCTGTTGGTGACCACAAGGTTCACTTTCCTATTCTTGTCAAAAGGGCAGGAGAATCTGTAAATCTCTCCATCCAACTTTTTGATGTTTGAGTTCTAGAATATAAAAAAAAAAGAAAATAATCATGTGTCAACATTGTTTCTCTAACAAACTTCATAGGATTTCCAATATCTATGAATATGCTCAGTTATGTGGTACTATATTAAAGTGATAAAAGTATTATGCATAAATAATTCCATACATGTTCTGCTGGCATATCTTCGATAGTTAAAATGTTATAAAGAAGAGGGTGCCCCTACAGAAATATATATTTCTAGCATAAGAAAAAAAATGAAAAGCAGGCCTTACTTTTAATCTGGCGCTGGAATACGGAGTGAGGTCTGAATTGCTCAGTCAAAATTGTTGGCTGCATGTGATTTCAAGACATTCACCTTGAGGAAACAAGCTGCCACTACAATTTTTAAAAAAAAACCCCAAGCTGTGAGAATTGCCTTTCAACTTCAGTAACTAGTGGCTAAAGGATGTGGAAAATATATGCAGTTTACAAAATTATTCAGACAAGTTAGGGAAGTCTGAGACAAAGTTAGCTCCCATATCTTAAGGTTTATTGCACATTTATTAACATCTGAAGTGGTAGCCAGAAGCTCAAAAGCAATTCTGCACATTGGGATAACTTTTTGTTTGTATTCAGACAGACAATTGGTATGCAGGCCTGCATGCTTTCACTTACTTAGACCAATGTTCTCAGAGAAGATATAATTTTCCAGTGACAGAAATGATTCTGATATTTTTATAAGAGAAAAAAAATTGGAAATTTTCAGTTACATACAGCAAGAGCTACTCTGTCACTACATAAGAAGACAAGTTTTACCCAAACGGCCTCCCATCTTAAAAAAGAAAAGGATGTTCCACTTCAAACAAGTGGAACACAATTTTCAAACATGTGGCACCTCCTTTAAAACAAACCTGACACCCATCAGTAAGCCAAGCACCTAACAGCAAGGCACAACCTAAATCTCTTGTTAATACACCACACCTAAATCAGCACAGACGTACAGCACAGAAATACTATTTGAAAGGCAATAAGCAAGACTCTGGGCCTGCCAACAGGCTCAGAAATATTGATTCTACTCACAAACCTTCTACTTGGTAGAGATGTATATACTAGCAATCCCACCAAGATTCTAAACACACTTCACCAATATTATTTTAAACCAAAGTACAAAAACATTTTGTAAATCTGTAGCAGACCAATGGGTGTCTGAACTACACCTCCTCACCTTATCTCCATTGGCCAGAAAGGCCTTTAATCAGCTTGTCACCTCATCGAAGCTATGCATGGCCATTAAATCCCTAAAACCAATAAGAAGCTGAGGCCTGATGAATTTACAGCTTCATACTACAATAAATTTACTGAACACCTAACCCCACTCCTTGTAGATGCTTTTAACTGCATTCAGAAAGGAGATACCTTTAGTTCAAAATCCCTGATGGCTTTTATATGCAAGATCTTGAAGCCCAATATGAATATTACCCACTAATCAAATTATAAGCCTACCTCTTATATAGAAATGAAAATACTAGCCACCAGATTAAACTCCATGATAGAATGCCTATAGCTGGGAAAGACCACGTGGGGTTCATTTTAACCTTCCAGGCTAGTGATATTAGAAGATATACTGTGGTTACACACATATAACCAAAAAACATGTACATTCTGTCCATGCTGTTATATATAGATATTAAAAAGGCATCCAATTCTCTCTTGGTCGTACCTGTTTCATGTGCTATGTACAGTAAATGGGACTTTGGCCTCCATTTAAAAAAAATGTAAACAATATCCATTTGTGAAACACTCTTGTTTTAAAGCAGCTTAATTTAACATCCTGCACAGCAGTAAACAGGGTTTCTCGTTATCCCCTTTATGGTTTGTGCACGCTATAGAGCTTCTGGCTCAGCTGATTACCACTCCATTATTCAGGGTCTTGAACAAGCGGTCTTTTCTCAGACTAAATGCTACACTTTTTGACCAACCCTCGTACCTTATTCCTGAATGGATTACTACGTTCTCTGCCTTCACCAACCTGTCTGGGCTAACAATTAATAGCAAAAAAAAAAATTCCTCAATATCTTCCTCCCCCAAACTCTTAACACGTTATGACAACATTTGGATTTCAACCGACTACTGACGTACTACAATTCCTAGGATTCCGATGACAAAATATTTTCCACAAACTACCTAGTCTTGCACAATCAAGTTTAATCACTCACTCCCACCCTTAACTTACCTGCATAACCCCCTCTTTAGCGCTGGGTATCCTCTCCTGAGTCCTTTAGATGCTGGATTTACTGCAGTAATGCACACCTATACAAATTTTAATCCTCTGATGGCACAAAACTATTCCAATTTTTTAGAGACATGTACAGGCTTTCTGCCTCTGAATGTTTCCAATATCTTTTGATCAGAAATTATATCATTAGCACTGTCAAAACACAGAAACCTTGCAACACCTGTACGTTGAGTTTATATGCCAAGATTACCATCACAGTCCAGGGCTAATTTCATATTTGTACACTTTTATTCCTCGATCTCTCTTCCAAACCACCACTGGCAACCATAGTGAAATGGGAAGCCAGACTAGAATTCCCCTGAGATAAGAAACATGAATATAGATGTGCTATAAAGTCATGGTAAAAAATATACTGCACCACTTTGCCCAGAAAATTGTTGTAATTACAAATGTTTAGGCATTCTCATGTTTATTTTGCACACCCTGTGGAAAATAACACCCAAAATCAATTGCTTCTAGTAACCATCAATGAGTTTCTTACACCTCTCTACTGAAATTCTGGACAACTCTTCATTCGCCATCTGCTCCAGGTCTCTCAAATTGGAAGGGTTGCTTTTCGCAATTGCTGTTTTGGGGGGGACTATACCCTCTCCATACAGTTAACGTCATTGAATACTCTTTGAGTGGCCTTGTGGCTCTGAAGTTGGTGATACTATTATAGCTTCTGAAAATGGAAGGTTAATACAGTATTTTCTACTATCAATACATTCCCTATTTACATCTGGAAAGGCCTTTGTCAGGTCATAATGTCTGTATACTTTTTATACACCAGCAGGTCCTTCTTAGGACTACCTAGAATGTGATATATCCTTTTGAGATCCCCCTGCTAACTTGCCTGTGAGACGTGGATGCCTCACAAATCCCCCCCCCCCCCCCAATTTCTGCACCGTTGCCTATGTTTTAAGGTATATACAGAATATGTATAATGAGGAATGATTGACCATATAATATGTTATATTATGTTATATATTTATATCCAATTTTCTTTCATGTAGTAGCTCCTGAGGAAGCGATATTCTCGCAAAACTTGTTGAGTAACTATCGTCACTCACATCTGATTCATGTTCCTTGATACCCTTACTAGGACACGGTACATTTGTATGGATCAAAATAATTTTATGCATCTACGAGTTTTGTAACTGCAAAGAATGCATCACCATTAATGGGGGTCTTAAATTCTTAGCAGATAATTTCTATGCATTGCTGTGTAATGGTGTATATTCGAATAAATAAATTATTTTTTAATTAATATTGTTGTAGTGCATCTAAAGTCCTAATTCTGACCTCCTTTTCTTTGGTTGAACTACATAGGACGTGGCACTTGGGAGACCTTTTTACATCCCCACAGTCGTCACTCTGTGTTGGATACTTCTTATTCTATTAGCTTCCAGTAATAGGGTGACAATGCTCACTCACTACTTTGACATATAGCAGTGGTGTTGTCATCCTGCCATGTGCACCCCCACAGTAGGACTACAAGCTGCCACAAAGATTCATAGTGTACCTGTAGTCTGCATACAGCAGTCAAAAGGGCAGCAATGGCTGATAGGAATTTAAGTCCAGTACACTTTTGCAACTATACAGGCAGTGACATTCAACTGAGGCTTCATCCCCACCCACACACTGTCCTGATCATGTACAGCAGTGAGACCGAACGTGCGAAGATGTGATCGCAGAATAAAGCAGGAAAAGAAAGGTATTTAGGGAATAAGCACTGCAATGCCACAGACTGCTTGCTATAATATGAAGTACAACCTGGAAGAAATGAAGTTACATATCCATAATAATGTCACAAAATGAGCCTTAAAATATGATTCAGAAAATGCATTTATTGCTCACTCCAGAGACAAAAAATTCACATTAACTGAAAAATCTGTTACTACCATACAGAACACTTAATTATTAAAGTACATTGCTACATTAAGGACCTATGGGTCCTATTTATACAGGCCAAAAAAATCTATTTTGCCACTTTTCCCCTTGGACATTTTAGTCAGTTTTGCCCATTAAACAAAGCAGACCTGGCAAATGCTACATTTATTTCACAATACATATAAAGTGGACATGATCCAGGGAAAAACTCTCTATAGTCA